AGACTCCCAAATCGCCTCAAGGGGCGCCAAACAAACTTCCAAGTGGCATTCGAGGAGATTCCGAAAAGGCGTTCAAGAGGCTTCTGGTTACTCGGCTCGATCATTGCTTCCTCCTTCTCCTCCTCCTCCGCCTCCCTCCTCCTCCTCCTCCGGTTCCTCCGCTTCCTCCTCCTCCTCCTCCTCCTCCTCCTCCTCCTCCTCCTCCTCCTCCTCCTCCTCCTCCTATTCATCATCCTTCCCCCCACTCCCTCATCCGTCCATCCATCCATCCATCCATCCTCCTCTTTCTCCTCCTCCCTCCTGTACAGCTAACGTTCTCCAGGGTTGCCTGGACTCGGTGAGCATCGATGCTGGCTCACTCTCCAAACTGCTTGAGCCCAAATGGTCATGGCCAGAATGATGAGCGAACGAGGGGGGAACAGAAGGAGGACGAAAGGGACATAAGGGAGTGGTAAATCCGCTCTCGACTCTTCCCCTCCGTCGCCAAAAGGCCGCCGAATCCGTTCAGAGAGTCCCAAACCCCGCCGCCCAGTTTTCAACAAAAACCTCCCCGGGGGAGTTTTCATTGTAAAATTCCGACCCTCCCCCGCCCAGCTTTCAACATAAATCTCCCGGGGGGGCATTTCAAAAAAAAGGAGTTTTCAGCCCGCCCCGCGAAACTCAAAAAGTGGCGAACGCACGAGAATTACATTTCTTGAATTTCGCAGGGCCTGCGGTGTCCGACGTGTTTTTGCAATGAAAACGCGCCCCAAAAAATCATGTTGAAAACTCGCACGTGGGGTTACCCTTTTGGGCCCTGGAGTCTCTCCGCTACGTTCTCGTCCTGCCTCCTGCTCGTCGCGCACCTCGTCCACCTCAGTGTCCGCCTCCCTGTCCCCCTCCCCGCACCCAGATCCCCTTCCCCCTGGTCCTCCTATTCCCTTTTCCTGTCCCTCCTCCTCCTCGTCCACGTCCTTGCCCACCTCCCCGTCCCTTTTCCTGCTCCTCGTTTTCGTTCTCACGCTGCCCATCCCCTGATCATCCTCTTCGCCAGTGCTCCAAAACCGGGTTCAGGATGAGAGGGGCGCTTCGCCCGCCCTCGATCGCTCGCCCTCGATCGTCCTGACGCGACCCGAGAGAGAGGCGCGCCGCGCATGGAGGGCGAGGGGCTAGAGCAGGGCGAGGAGTGGAAAGAAGATGGGAATGGGGAATGGGCCTAGACGAGGAGGACGACCCCCCGCACCTTGCCAGGGCCCCTCCGACCGCTACGACCCCTGCACAGATCCCCCAGCGAACAAACATGTGGCCCCAGAGGGAAGCAGCCTCCTGATCCACTAACCTCCCCCCATTCCCCCTCCGCCGCCAGCCCAAGCGTCCGCGCCCCGCCCCCCAGACCGAATGGTCAGCCATGCCAGCGGAAGCTCGCCAGGAAGAGAAGTGAGGATAGGAGGGGGCGAGCGTGGAATACAGGGGGATACGTTTTCATGTCCGCGGTCAACCCCGACCCCAGGGAATCCTGAGAAGTCAAGCCCTCGTTGGCGCACGGGCGCCGACAGGATGCTGAACAGGTCGCCCCTCTTTAACGGACTCGGGGCATCCGAGGCCCCCGCGAGCGGGACTGCCGCGCAATCTCTGTCACCCAGCAGGGGCAGCAAGTCCTGAATGCAATAGCTACCCAGCCTAGCGTTCTCCTGCCGCCACCTGCGGCTGGGCCCTCGCCAGTCGGCGACCCGCGCCCGGACCCCCGCCAGTCGGCGAAATGGCCCTGGTCGAGGCGCAGGGCCTTGACAACCTCCATCGCCGAAACGCACGCCTCGACCTCAGACCGCTGCCTCTCCCCCATCGTCACCACCGGGCAGCCGCCCTTCTTCTTGGGCGCGGCCTCCTGCGCCGCGGCCCCCTCGCCCGCCCCGGCGCCGTCGAGCGCGCGGGCGGTCCGGGGGGCGCCCGCGGCGCCCTTCAGCGCCGCGGGCGGTTCTTCGATGCCGCGGTCCTTCATCTTCTTCTTGAGGCGCAGCCGCAAGTCCCCACGCGACATCGCGCCGCCCTTCGCTTCGCCGCGCGCGAGGATGGCGCGCTGGAGCCGCGGCCCCAGCTCGAGCTGCATCGAACTGCTTCATGGTCGTGGCATTGGAGTGGTTCGCTTTCCTCCGGCGGACACGGACAGCCCCGCGCCGCCGGAACCGGGCGGCCCGCCGCCGCCGGGGCCAGACGGCCCGTCGCCGCCAGACGGCGGTGCCGAGCCCCAGGACCCCGGCCTCGCAGGGTGCCTCGCGCGCCACTCGTAAAAACCGTGGCGCGTCTCCAGCTGCCGCGCCCAGTGGATCACAGCGCAGGCCGCCTCGTGCAAGTTCCACTTCGTCCTTGCCGTTCCTGAGACGTGCTCTCCGAGCTTGGTGAGGCTGGCGCAGTAGTCCGTGGACCGCGTGGCCACGCTGGCGAACTTGTGGACGCCCGTGCCCACGCACTGGAGCTGCTCGAGGAGGGCCGCTCCGAAGGAGCGCGGGGGGTCAGCGACGAAGTCCTTCGCGACTCGAATCGTGGCGTCTAGGAACGACGCCGCGAGCCCGTCGGGGACGCGCCGCTGCTCGCCCCGCGTAGCGCGCCTGCCCATCCAGCCGAACTGCCCGCGCAGGAACTCCTTGGCGCCTTGAAAGGCCTAGCCGGGGTCGCCCTCCGCCGAATTGCACCAGACGTGGTGGAACCTCTTCGCGAAGCCCGTGTCACCAGGGCGGAAGACATGCTGGGTGACGGGCATTTGCCCCATCACATAGTGGAGAGAAAGGAAAGCTGCGGGGGTTGTACTGACCAAGCCCGGACACGCTAGCGTCGCGCTCCCCGTTCGCCAGCTGCAACATCTCGCCCCTGCTCGTGAAGGTGATCCCCTTTGCTTTCTCTAGCTGAAACGTCTCGTAGCACGTGCTGCATTCCGCCGCGCAGAGGCCGCTGCGACCATGGTTGGCAATGCACATCATGCAGCCCTTAATCGCAGCGTCGCCAGCGCGCGCGGCCCCGCCCCGCAGCGCCTCAGGCAGGTCCGGGTGGCTCAGCAAGTACTCGCTGATGAAGCGGTGCATAGACGGCGGCCCAGCAAAGAAGGCGCCGATCGTGGCGGCCCTGACGCGGTGGGCATCCTCCACGTCGGTGAGGCGCGTGCCCTGGTGCTCCGTCCAACCGATCATGACGCAGAGGCCCTGGTGGCCTGCCTCTGGCGGCCAGGAGTACGCCGTCGCCGCCGCGGTAATGGCCTTGCGATGCGGCGGCGTCGTCAACTTCTCCATGGGGAAGACGCGTCGCCCCCGATCTCCACGCGGGTCCTGGCGTCCGCGAGAATGTCCGCCAGAGTCTGCTTCACCGACTCACAGACGTTCCCCACGCGCTCGAGTCCTCGGGAGGGGGGGGGAACACTTACATATTCGACCCCCCCCCATCGGGATGGGGCTGGCGCGGCCCCCGAGCGCGGGGGCGCTTGGAAACCGCCGCCTGTCGGCGCGCCCATCGACCCACGAGGAGCTCCAATAATCCCCCCCTCACATGAGCTCAGAGGTGAGGGAAGACAGCGCCCGCGGGGTGTGGGGGGGGGGAAGCGCCAGGTTAACCCCGCGCGCGTTTCGCACCCGCATGTCCTTGGAAGAGGTCTGCGGGGTAGATGTACTTCAGCAGCTCCTCCTCCGACTCGATCTGGCTGAGCTGCTCGAACACCTCGGACATCGGGTCCAGCATGTTCGACGCCGGCGCCACCGGGGCGCTGTGGGGGAATGGGAAGCCCCAGTGCGGGTGCGAAACGATGGGGACGGGGCCTCCGCTTCGCGTCCTCGGCGTCGGCTGGGTCTGCGAGAAGTCGTCGATGTCCTGGCCCTTGGGTAGGCGTGACGGCCTGGTCCTCGGCGGCCGCAACGGCCCGCGCCTCGGCGGGCACGACGGCCAGCGCCTCGGCGTGCGTCGGCTCGTCTTGGGAGATCTCCGGAAACCAAAGGCCCTGCATATATGGGACGCATTCCAATCCAACCAATTTTCGGATGCATCGCTTGAGAGCGAACTATCAGCGCAACGGACGTGGACCAAAACAGCCCTTCTACTCGGAGACAAGAAATCCTGGGCATGGCGCAGGTGGATTGAAGAATTGGGGCGACCAGCTTGAAGCACAATATGCCTTGTGTAGCAATCGACTGGGACCAAATACGACGGGCTTGTGACCACTCGTGTGACGACGTTGACGCACTCCCACTCAATGCGGACCTCGTGGATATGGTACGCTCCGACCGCTACCACATGCTAGGCTGTCGCACACGAGCTAACAAAAATGCAGAACCTGGCCTGAATGGGGCTCACGAGTAGAAGCGGCATATATACAAACCCACGAGTCAACATTACCAACCCTGGCGACGCAAGCGAGGCACGAACGAGACGAGCACTAGCACAAGCTGACACCAACGACGACCAGGAGGAGCTGGGGCGACACGCGACAGACTATACAGCTACCACTTTGGTCAGAAATTGCCATCATAGGACGGAGAACGGGCGAGAGCATCGGGGCCAGACAACGAGAAACGGGCGAATCAACTCAGGAACCTATAGAACACAACTACTGGACGTTCGCCAGACCTGACGGGGATGCATCGTCGACGTGGGCGATGCTTTGGCGACGTCAACAGGAATTAAATCGGGCTCCACATCGAACCGCATCGGCGATGCATCGCCGATGCGGAGCGATCCTCCGACCCCATCTACTCCGACTCCATCTAGGAGGCCTAAAGATGCAGGCCTGACTTGGACCAACCTTGGGACACATTCGGAGGCGGAATTGGACCGGATGTGACTCTATGTACGAGAAAGACGAGGGGAACGAGGAGGGGAAGGAGGAACCGGAGGGGCGAGGATGAGCAGGAGCAAAGACCAAATGTGGCCCGAATACAGGACAAGCTGATTTCAATGTCGCCACCCAAGGCTCCCACGAACAAACCTTGAGCCCATCCCACTCCCAACCGAAGCGCAAGGGTGCCCGGCGGCGGCGGCGGCACCTCCACCCGTGAGGCGCCCAGCGTCAGCCCCAGGAGGTGCAGCGACCTCCCCCCCACAGGGCAAAGCGAGCGGGCCGGCGGCGTGGTCAGGGCGGGGCCACTTCTGGCAGGATCAAGTCGCGTGGACTTGGCAAGTCGGAATCGAAGTGAATCGGAGCAAACCAGCGTCGAGCGTATCCTTACACATCAGATTGCCAAACCCAGGCCGATTGCAAGCTTTGGGATGTGCCCTCAGAAACTCAGTGACTCCCTAAGATCGGCACCGAATACAAGCATGCCAATTAACCCCATGCCGCGGATAATAAACACCCAGGGATAATAAAGTTCGGGGTTTTCGGGGAGATAGTAAAACTTGCCCGCCAGAGCCAGCATAAAGAGATATCAAGAGGAAAAAGCCAAAGATATCTTCAGAATCCTTGGTCTTTGGTCCTCTATGAGACATCCTCAACAATGATTTGTCTCGGTTGAGACATCCTCAACGAATTGCTTGTTTCGCTTGAGACATCCTCGAAATATTTGCCTGTTTCGCTTGAGACATCCTGAACAAACGTGTTCGCTTCGCTTGATGTTGTTATCTCAACATGAGAAGGAAGTAACCTCGATGGCGAACTTTCCCACTGATAATGAAGTTCGGCCTCCGCGCCCTCCGCCTATATTTGAAACCCTTCTAGGCCGACGATAAAAAACTCGAACGACTTAAGGGGGGGTACGTTATTATCCGCGGCATGGGGTTATCGTGGTAGGGATATGTTCCAGACTGGTGATGCACCTGCACGGAATCAACATCAATTCGGATCGGCTGCGTCGGAATGCAAAACCAACTTTCCGTCTTCCTTCCGACTCCTTTTGTACCGCCGCGGAGATGTCATCGTTTGACTTCCCCCAGCTTCCGCTGGCCCTCCGCCGAGGGAGAAAAGAACAACTTCTTGATCCCTCGAAACCGGGGCCCCTTCTGGCGCGCGCCAGGGGCAAGCAGAGAGCCACAAGAGAGCAGAATCTGAGTCGCCCTGCCTGCAACGACCCCCGCCCGATTGCGAAGGGCGCGAACGGCGGGGAGGAGGAGGAGGACGGTGGGGAGGAGGAGGAGGAGGAGGAGGAGGAGGAGGAGGTCCGTCGCCATGTTTGTTCAAGTCCGACGCAATCTACTCAAGGACGAGGGCAATGTGGCAAGAGGAAGCAGCGGCCCCCACCACTTTCAACATCAAATACGCACTTCGGTACCGTACCGGCTTGTCCCGCGCATTTCTCTGCCCAGGTAAGGACTCTCGTAGATGGCGGTTTGGCAGACGACTTGGTGTGGCTCGGACAAAGTGCTGCGGATTTCGCTTCAATTATGAATGGAGGAGCAGGCGTCTGCACTGCAGCTCGGCCAAGGGTGCCTCAACCTCGCCAAGCAATCCTCGGACAAAAAAAGGTGGGAACTGGGCTCAGGGGGTGCCGCCGTCCGTCCGTGCCCTTTGGCTTAAAAAGGACACCCAAGCCGCCCTTCAGCAGAAGTCTTCTGACGAACGGATCGAGGCGTATGCCAAGATGGATGAACCGCCCCTCCGTTTTGTGGTGCCGCAGTTGGGCCAGTCGGCCAAGGATCGCATCAAGCGACTTCGCAGCATCGCCTCGGGCAACCCCACGGTTGTGTCGAAGGAACCGCAGAAATAATTGGACCGGTTCGCTTATCAGATCGCGAAGCAGCCGTCCAAGCATGACAAACCAGTAGTCACATTGCAGAGAGCGGCCGGGTACCTGTCGGAGGGCGAGATGGAGCTCGAGAAGCTCAACAGCAAACGCGGATGGGTGGCGGACCGTGCGGCTGCAGCCATCGCAGCTGTTGGGGGGTCCGCGCATTCTGGCAAAGGGCCTACTGGCCCACAGGGAACCGAGGCCGACCCAAGCGCCTTGCCTTTGCTCCTCGAGCGGGCCCAGCAATTCGGTTCGCCTGCGCTCTACGCACAGCTGGCTGCCGTCCTCGCCGAAACGCAACCGTCCGTGGCGACAGCGCAAGTACGGCAGGCCCAAACGCCGCTGGGGGTGGCAGCGCCCGCGGGACCGCATCCGCCCTCCCCCGCCGCCGCCGCCGCCGCGAGCGCCACGGGCGCCGCCGCCGCCGTCGCCGCCGCCGCGGGGGGACCAACCGCCGCAGGGCCTGCAAAGCGTGCTGCTCGCCCTATGCCCGATGGTTGGCACGCTGCCAAGTGCAGGCGGGCTACCAGGTGTTGGCGCCGAAGCTGTCCAGTGGGCAGAGAAGCATCGTGAGCGATTTGTTTGTTGTTTGGTTGTTTAGCCCTGATGGGCGACTCAGATTGACTGTAAAACGCAAGTGGTGCCATGCTCCAACCAATTCTCTTCTCCTGAGAGTTCAAGTCCACCAGCCCCGGCCAGGCAAGGCATGAACCTCGAAAGCAACACACCTTCGGAACAAAAAGGGCCGTCGGGATAGTTCCAAGCCTGAGCTCAGCAAAGGACCTACAGTGCTGGGCTGAGCCTGCGCCCGCCTCGCACTGAACCAAACAATAAGCGAACTCTTCATCCAATCCGCAGAGCTTCAGCGAAATGGCGGCGGGCGGCGGCCCGGGGTCTGGCGTGGATCTGCTGAGAAACACTGCCAGCAGCAGACAACTGATGACGGCGGCAGTTGTGGGCGAACAAAGAGACATCATTTAGAGCACCAGTAATCAACGGCACCGCGCGAGGCCTCTCCACAGTCGGGAGCAAGGAAGACAGCCAGGGATGATCCTCAGAGAAAAGGGCATCATCTCGCCAAACCAATTTTTGCAAGTTCAATGGAACCGTGAGCAACAAGCATCGCGAATAATATCATCGAGAACACAAAGCTGGTGAACGATGGGGGCCAGAGCGGCATCCGAAGTGACAACCATGGAGACAACCGTGAGATAGGGCATAGAACCTGGCGGAGGCATTCGCGCCACGAGCAAACACGCGAACAGAAAAAAGGTCTCGTTTTTTGAATCACAAATCGAGCGGCTCTGGCAACCTGGTGGACAGCATCATCGGGAACGTCCCCCATCCACCTTCATATTCGTAGAACTAAATTGGCTGGCGCATCGCGTGCAGGCTCAGCCGCGGACGCCCGCAAGCCACGCGCTGCCGACTGGAGGGTCTTTCCATCGACATGCATACCCTTCGGCGGGGCAATAGGGGGTTATCCCATTGCCGGACGCGCAAAGAAGAGCAGGCGCAAAGCTAGAGCGCGCCCAGCCAGACATGGCACGCGCCACACATGCTTCATCGCTCCTGAAGGCCCTCTCCAAATCTTCCAGACACTCCAGAATCTCCGAACATCTCCAAAGCATTCTAAGCTTCGTTGCCCGAGAGACCGCCTCCAGATTCTTGAGCTGCAGAAATGGACCAAGAGCACTCATTTTCGTCAACATCTCGCAGTTGAAACTGATTCTCGAACCTACCACGAGCAGCTGCAAGTCGATTCTATCGGCGGCGGTGGCCGAGCGCGAGAGGGGAGTGAACTGCATGGCAAACGAATGAATACTAAGGCATAGCGCATGGGAGATCGAAACATTCTTGGCGAAAGTTAGACCAGCTTGCCGCGCATCTTGCTCTCGTGGAGCAAACTTCGCCACGGGCTTGCTCCAGTAGCGTTCAGGCGCCGAGCGACCAATCATCATGCCGAGGTAGTTACCTGCCAGAGCAATATGCGTATTCGTCAGCTCAGGTAGCTGAGCGGCAACGCAGCTCCTCAGCCTCGCTTGAAACATCTCCGAGTTCACTAATACCGCGCACTTATGGATGTCCAAGCCGAGGCCAACAGCACCTTCAAGAACTCGAATGGCCAGAAAAAAAACTTCCCTTGGTGGGTAGCCGTCTGACGGAGACCGCAGAGGCAATCATCCGCATGCTCCAATGCGATGCGCCAACCCTCCCAACAACACTTGCTGATCTATGCCTGCAGCGGAGCCGTCCCAAGACAGACTGGCACCGTCGATGCCGGGCCGCCTTGCCGAACTCGCCGAGCAACCGCAATTCAACCATAACCCTGCCCCATAGTCGCAATCAAAGCAGAGTCATCGCAATGGAACGCGCGGTGGAATACAACGATAAACATCGGCGCCCAAACGGTCTCCGAACAGCCAGAAACAACTCAATCGAATGAGAGGGGAGGGCGGCAGAGCAATCCGCCAGGACAGCGAGCTATCCCCGTTGCCAAGCGCGCGTTCGGAGAGACAGCGCCAACGCCTCCGCGCGGACAATATGCGCAGTCACACTGCGCCCAGGTACTCACGCCTGAGGAAGTGAACACCACTACCTGGGCAAGCTCGTTCAACGGCAGGCACGTGCAGGCACTCTACAGCTTCGCGTCAGCGGTTGGCCATGGAAATTGGGCGAGTGTTCCCAGGCGCCCCGTAAACCGTGTTTCCAACGTCAACATTGGAATCAATTTTCCGAAGAAAAAACCAGACAACCTGCTAGCATGTCCCGAGGAATAGCGGCGAATTTCTCCTGGATCAGGCCCCGATAACAATCGAATAAGGGTCTCGAGGCATCTCCCAGGCGCCAGCAGTTATGTGGGATCCCATCGGGCCCAGGCATGCAATGTTTACGTTTCTGGACCATGATCCCGTAGAAGGTCGCATAAACCACTTCCCAAGACATGTCAGCTCCCGAGGGCACCTGTCGGGCAAAAGAAGCTCGGGCCACCTGGAAAGGCTTCCCTGCATCTCGCAGAAAACCTCTCCCAAGTGGAACCTCAGGGCCTTGGCAGATGCTTCAGGGGAGGGGTATGGTGGGCATTCTCATCAACCACTCCTCGAAGCCGCGTGCGACGACAAAATTGCTGCCGAAAAATACGGCAACGTGCAATATGTTTCTCCTCCTTCCTCCGCTGGAAATCATCGGGGAGGGTGGGGTCGTTCTCAAGTTCTAGCGTCTCAGCGCCCAGGATCTTCAAATGCAGTTCGCGCGCGTGCTGACAGAGCGAAGCGAGATCAGCACATTCCAGAATAGTGTCATCCATGTACTCAGGCATCCTGGGGCAACAGGCGATGGCCCGACCAATCATCATGATGTTTGAGAGAACGCGTTCCACGGGCGCTTGCCTTGGGGACATTCAGCGGCGTGTTTTAAACCGCGGGGTGGGCCCCCCCTAGCGCTCGGCGCCGTCGATCAAAACAGAGGACTCCCCTACCCCCCGCCCCCCACCACTCGCGAGCCCCCCCCCTCCTCCCAAAACGGGGGGGGGGCGTGAGGTTCGAACCGCCCCTCCCCTCGGCGCCAGCGCCTGCGGCCGTGCGAACTGCGCCACTGGGACCTTAGGTTGGGGCCCCCTTGTGGGGCCGCGGAACGTGTGAGGGGTGTACCGAAACAGAGGCGTTATGAAGGCAAGGGCAAGGAGGGGAGGAGGGAGGAGGAGGAGAAAGGAGGAGGGGGAGGAGGGAGGAGGAGGAGGAGGAGGAGGAAAAGGACGAGGAGGTGGGAGGGAGGGACGCGGGGCGCTGTCTCTTCAAAATGAAGACCCAAAACCCAACACCACAAAATGGTGGGAGGAAACAACTAATGGGAAATCTTCGTAAGAACGATTCGATTCTACTACGCCGGATGAGGGAGCCACGGTGCGGGATTAGCTGAAATTGCGCCATTACGCCCAACATTGAGCCTGATCGAGGCGGACGAAGCGGGCACGTCACAGCAAGCACCACAGTGCGCAGCACAATATGCACCGTCGTAGCTGCGTGCCCCACATCGCCAAAGTACTGCTCAGTGCATACGCGCAGCACCACGATGCTTGTTTCCCTCATTCCTTCCTTCGAGCATTGTTCTGTGCTGGTGTTTGCTGGACGACGAGACGACGGCGCCCGAGCGCCGGACGACGACGACGACGACGACGACGACGACGATAACGACGACGATAACGACGACGATAACGCCGAGGACGACGACGATGCAGACGGGGACGGGGACGAAAACGACGAGGATGTCGAGGAGGACGAGAACGAGGACGAGGACGACGAGGAAAAGGACGACGACGACGAGGACGTAGGCGACGACGATGAGGGCAACGACGGCGAGGACGAGGACAAGGACAAGGACGAGGATGACGGACGCTTCTGGAGGTCTCCAGAGGGTTTTGGAGGCCTAAGGCTCAAGGAGGTTTCCGGGGACCTCTGGAGGCGCCTTGAAGCCCTTCTCGAGCCCCTCGGCGACGACGACGTCGACGAGGACGACGAGGAGGACGAGGACGAGGACGACAGGGGCAAGACGAGGACGGGGACGACGAGAACACGAGAACGAGACCGAGGACGACGGCCGGCTCTAGAGCACTAGAGGCGTCTGGAAGCCCTTGAAGACCTCGACGACGGCGACGACGACGACAACGACGACGACAACGAGGACGGGGAAAAGGACGACGACGACGACGGCGACGACGACTACGAGGACGACGACGATGCCGACGATGAGGACGACGAGGACAAGGAGGACAAGACGGGGACGACGGCCGCCTCTGAAGGTATCTGGAGGTCTCCAAAGGCCTAAAGAAGTCTCGGGAAACCCCTGGAGGCGTCTGGAGGCCCTTCGAGGACCTCGGCGGCGGCGACGACGACGACGACGACGATGAGGACGACGATAACGACGAAAACGAAGACGACTATGATGAGGCGACGACGGCGCCGACGTCGACGAAAACGGGGACGAAGACGAAGACGACGATAAGGACGACGACGACGACGGCTGCCCCTGAGGGTCTCGGAAGATCTCCGGAAACCAAAGAAAATGTAAGGAGGTATTTGGAGGCGTCTGCAGGCCCTGCGAGACCCACGGACACAACGACGAAAAATCCCGCCAGCCCTCTGGGCGACAGGCGGTCTATCGAGATCCTTGTTTCCTGTGCCACACCCCTTCTTCCCCTTCGGGGAAGGGTTTATCACTGCTCCGTATTAATATACACCCCCTCCCCTAGGCGACTGGCGTCCAACCAGGTATCGTCAGGACACCATGACGACACGCCCCCCACCGTCCCTGACAAAAAACAATACAAGCCGCACTCTGTCTCCACATTTGGAGCACGCGCGGCCATACCGATGCGGCCCCCCCCCCGCCACCCCTGTCAAAATACACACGGGGGCAAAACCTTGAATCACGTTCGTGAAGCCTGCGAACACATTGCATTGTTTTTTTGACAGGGGCGGCGGGGGTGCCAGCATAGTCCCTGCCGTGCGCAAGGCTACCATCCCGGACAAACATCAAACAAGACAACATGCACCTCGCGGCTAAATCTGGATCGTGCGCGGCCATCCCGCGGTCACTGTCACATGAGTTTGACAGGGACCGCGGGGGCGGTGGCGCGTGGCCTGCTGTGCGCAGGCCCACAGGACACAATGATGGGCATTGGTTTCCGACAAGGACGGCACCGAACATGGCGCACCTGGCGCGGCTGGAGTGTGCTCAGGCCCCAAGGGTGCCTGGCACGTGTGGCGCACCGCGCCCAAGCGTCGCGCACCTGAGGTCGGCTTTGGTTTCCAGTAGCTGCCCATCCAAAAACGACCGCTGAACATGCTCAGGCTCGGGTGTTACTTCTGTGTTGGGAGGGCGGGTGGGGGTGAGCTAGACAGACGGTTTGCGGGCGGCAGGGAAGCTTGATCACTGCTCCCTATTAGTAAACACCCCCTCCCCCAGGCGACTGGGGGCCAACCCGGGTCCATGACGACCCCCCCCCACCATCCCTTGTAAAAAATGCAAAACACACTCTGTCTCCAAATTCGGAACATGCGCAGCCAACCCGATGCGCCCCCCCCCACCATCCCTGTCAAAAAACAATACAGAGTACACTTGGCGGCGGCGGCGGCTGCGGCGGCTGCGGCGGCGGTGGCGGCAGCTGCGGCGACCGCGGCGGCGGCGGCGGCGGGGGGGGCGGCGGCGGCGGCGGCGGCGGCGGCGGCGCAGCGGCGGCGGCGGCGGCGATAGCGGTGGCGGCAGCGGCTGCGGCGGCGGCGGCGGTTTGGCAGCGGGGGCGGCGGGCGGCGGCGGCGGCGGCGGCGGCGGCGGCGGGCGGCGGCGGCGGCGGCGGCGGCGCGCGGCGGCGGCGGCGGCGGCGGCGGCGGCGGCGGCGGCGGCGGCGGCGGCGGCGGCGGCGGCGGCGGCGGGCGGGCGGCGGCGGCGGCGGCGGCGGCGGCGGATTGGCCCCCAGTAGCTGCCCATCCAAAGACGACTGCTGAATATGCTGAGGCTCGGGCCAGACTCGGGTGCTACGTATGTGTTGGGAAGGCGGGTGGGAGTGAGCGAGACGGCTTGCGGGCGGGGAGCGGGTCTTGACCCCTCCCCTCTGCCCCCTTCCTTGGACCTGGACGGGGAAGGGCCGCGAGTCGTGAGGGCGTCCAAAATGGTCCAAGATGATTCCAAGATGGCCCCAGAGAGCCTAAGATTGCCTCCAGGATCGTTCAAGATAGCCCCTCATGGCTCAAAACAGCTAGCAACATGCCTCCAATAGGCCCAAAGAAAGCCATAGGACTGATCCAGGTGCTTTTGGGGGCCCCTCAGAACCTCCCCGAAAACCCAAAATACTTCAAAAACCCGGGGTGCACCAGTGATGTTGGCCTTCTCGCCTTTTTCGCTTCCGATACGCTTTTGAAGCCTCGAAATGTAACAAAGCTCCAAGGAGGGCCTTAGGTGCCCCCAAGACGGCCCCAAGAGCGCCGAATATCGCCCCCAGAGCCCCTATAGCGCCCAAAGAGGCTATTTGATGGACCAAACAGGAAGAAGCCGCGCCCAGACGGCGCATCGGCGCAAATTGGATTGAAAATGAAGACCAAACACATGTGCAGAAAATGATGCCGAATGCACGTGCGCTGGGTCGCATCCACTGTTCATTGACCAGTGCTGGGCGGCGGGGTACAATTACACTTGGACGTCGCACACTGAACATGCAAGAGGACGGGGGGGGAGGGAACGGGGGGGGAGGGGAGTGGAGGAACAGGGAGAAGGCGGGAACACGATTACACACAATAGTCATTAACGGCTTGGCGCCATTGTGCTGGAAGGCCTTGCAGCAGGTCGTGCAAATTGTCGTTGTCGCCCCCTGCTGCCTCTAGGCCCCGGGCGTGCACATATGTAGCCCATTGCAGACGCGGGCGCCCACCAGAGCGTGAACTGTTCCATCTTCTCGGCTGGCAGCTCCCACTCTCGAACAGCATTGCTCTCGGCAGGCTTCTCGGCGAATCCCCTGCCAATTTACCATATAACTGCAGCTGCCGTCTCAATAGCTGCGATGATAAGCGCGTGGCGTTGGCAACTGCTCTGACTTCGACGTTGATGACACGGGAGAAATAGGCAGGTCGGATTTTGCATATCGTTCGGAGGCATATCGCTTGGAAGCTGTCGAGGTGGAAGCTATTTTGATGGCCCCCGTCTTTTCACCGACACCCTCCACGACAACCCCAAGAGGCCCTCCGAAGCTCTCAGGAGAGGCCCAAGCCAGCCCCAAGAGGGCCCCAAGAGGGGCCCCAAGAAGGGCCCCCAAGACGCCCCAAAAGAGCCCCAGGAGGGCCCCAAGACACCCCAAAGAAGCCCCAAGATGGCCCCAAGATGCCCCAAAGGACCCCCAAGAGGACCCCAAGACGCCCCCCAAAAAATTCATAGCTCCAAGAAGGCCTCCGATGCTCCAAGATAGCCTCCAACATGGCTCAACAATTTCCTCCTCCTCCTCCTCTTTTTGACCGCTCTGTTTCACTATATGCGCCTCTGCTTTCCATTCCCGTCAGCTCTCGTGGGCAGGGCTTCTGAATGGGCTGGCGGGGATTCGCGAAGTGTAAAAAAGAAAGTAGCACGCGGGCACGACAGTTGCCTGCGAACATCATAATGGCACTGCCGGAGGCGCACATTGAACATTACGTCATGGGGGGCGCCCTGTGGCCCAGGGGCGCGAAAAACACGCTCCAGGCTTTCGACCACGGATATACCAGCTCTGAGGCTGAAGCAACAAACCTCCTAGGAGTTGCACGTATCCTGACTACTCCTCCCTTCCTGCCCTCGAGAGCGGCAACGGGGGCGGCGGCGGCACCCCCGAACCCCCCCCCCGTGGGCCCGGCGAGGGATCGCTTCTCGCCGCAGGCTCGGGCCGCGTCCACCGCTGCCCTGGCCGCCTCGCACGGGGCAAAATTCCCCGCGCCGCTCCACCCTGCGAGGCGGGGACCTGTCCGTATTTCATTTTTTTTGGCGATATGACTTGGATCAATCCCGGCGACGTTCCTCGACTTCGGGCTCCAGGGCACGCTAGCGGGCCCCGGGACCATCAGAAATGGGGAAGGGGAAGGGAGCTCTGGGGCCCCGGGCTGAAAAAGAACAGCACGTCGGATGCCTGGGCCCGCCGCGTAGGGAAAGGATGTCCTGGGACCCCAGGGGGCGGGTCGGATAGGGATATATGTTTGGGCCCAGAGAATGATGGGCAGATGTTCTACCACCACCACCATCAGAATGAGAGGGAGAGGGAGAAGGAAAGGGAGGGGGACGAGGGAGAGGAGGACGAGGGAGATGAGGAGGAGGAGGAGGAGGAGGAGGAGGAGGAGGAGAAGGGGGAGGATAAAAAGTGGGAGGAGGAGGCGGAGGAGGAGAAACAGGAGGAGGATCTCCCTATCCTCCCTTTTCCGCCCCTCCTACCTATGGTAGTAACGCTTGAAAACTTGCCCATCAGAGAAGGCCAGAATCTGTGTCCATGTCCGCCTTCGCCCGAGGTCCATGCAAATCGGTCTCCCAGGCGCCGGATGCGGATAGCTTCCCCGGCCTCGGACATCCTCCTCCGCCTGCAGCCTTTCCCTCGCACTCCTCCCTCGTTGCGCGGCGAGGCGGGTAAAACGCCCTCCAAAGATCGGAGGCCTTGACTTGTTCGATACGGGGTCCCCGAAGTCCTGACAGCCCTCAAAGATCAGAAGCCTTGACTTGTTCGATACGGGGTCCCTGGGAGTCCTGACAATCCTGACCCTTGTCCAAAGGCCAACCTATTATCCCCAAGAGTCTCTCACAGGCCGCAGACTGTGAAACATCATCGTCTCTGATGTTGTTGTTGTCCTCACTTGCTGCGCTCTGTGTTACAATCGCCTAACGGTGATCATCTCAGCAAGCCATCTCAAGAAATCTAGTCAGTCGTGCACAACATGTCCTAGCCTTCACGAAGGAGCACGCAATGAATTAAACGTACATGCCCTTCAAACTTGTGGCTCGTGCCTTTCACATTAAATCTAACACCATACTCATACACGGTTTCGATATCAACCATGACTTTCTCAGACCAAGCAAGCAACCGGGCTTCCTTCCAGATCGTGGACAGACATTATGGGCACTGCTCCCCAGACGTACATTGATGCAGCAGGTGCGCCAGCTTCGGAATAAGCCTGGGGCAAACAAATCATCATCTGCGTCCGTCTACACCGATCGAAGTATTTACCCACGAGCCGTTGGCAAGTTGCAGAGATGCCCAGGCGCACTTACCACTGTTCCTGGCCGCGCTGTAGCAGAAAGTGGCTCCCAAATAATGGAAAAGATACTGGTCATCACGGAGACCGCTGCTGGAGACATCAGTCAAGCTGACCTCGCCACATATGGTGGCGAAGCAGACGCTTTCTGGGACTGCAGAGAACGTGACATCCACGTACATCCACGTAAGCTTTTGTTTGTACACCAATGCACGAGCGTTTCTGGCCAAACGCTTCGCACAATACTGGTTTGAAGGGGGGTGGATGTTGCAACCAGCACCATGGTCAGCAGGAGTGGCAAGTTAGCCAACGTTGGGAAGGGGAAATGCAGACAGTCAGCCCTTCGTGCGCATCTCTGCGATCCGCTCTCCATTCCCGCACCAAATCGATAACTGATCGGCGCGGGAATTCTCCTTCGGAGTCTTGAAGGCCCGCCGCCACTCCTTGATCATGGCAGGGAACGTGCGCGCGTACCTTATAGCACCTTCAACTCCACGCCTTTCGTCGACGTCCGCCTCTTCCTGATACCACAAAAACCCAACAAATGCCATAGGTCCCACCGTGTATGGGTTCATCATGGCGTTAAACGAAGCTGAATCGGCAGTCGTAAGATTGCACTCATTCCGAATTTCTGTCGTCGGCCAATTCTTATCAAGAGTTCCACCCCAATTCTTGCTGACTAGACCGATCGGCGCAGAGGCGCCGACAACGTCGAAAATCCCATCAGCCCTCTGGGCGTCGGTGGTTTAGGGCGTTTCCTCTTCCACCCCTGCCTCTTCCCCTTCGGGGAGGGGTTTACCCCTCCCCCTACCCCATACCCGTGGACCTGGACGGGGGGGGCCGTGAGCGGTCAGAGCGTCCAAAACGGCCTCGGCGAGGAAGCCAAAATCATTCCTGTTGGCCCCATGTTGGCCTTCTGAGAAAAGAAACCCTACTTGAAGCTCCCCTCTTCTTTGATCGATGTCCTCCAAGATGGCCCCAAGAAGCGCCCAGGAGGCCCCAAGAGGCCCCAAGATGGCCCCAAGAGGCCCCAAGAAGCACCCAGGAGGGCCCCCAAAGGACCCCAAGCGGCCCCAAGAGGCCCCCCGAGGCACCCAAGACGCCGAAAAGCCCCCCAGGACGGCCACGGCGGGGGTTTGGTGGGCGGTGTCTGAAGGCGCTGGGGCGACGCTCGGTTGATATGCCAGGGGTGGCGCTGGGAAACTTTTGCGGCGATGTTTGGGAGTCTTGGACTCTGGGAGTCCGGGGGTCCGGACTCTGGGAATCCCGGGGTCCAAGAATCCGGGACTCCGGAATCCGGAATCCAGAACCCGGAATCCGGGAACCTGGCTTCCGGGAATCCGGAATCCGGGAAACAGAACGGATCTGGATGCCGGGAATCCGGGAATCAAAATTTTGAAATCCGGAATCCGGGAATCCGGAGATCCAGAATCTGGGATCCGGAATCCGGAAACCGGGAATCCGGGAATCTGGCATCCGGCATCCGGAATCCAGAATCCGGGAAACCGGATTCTGGAATGCGGAATCCGGGAATCCGGAATCCGGAATCCGGGAATCCGGAAACTGGGAATCCGGAATCCGGAATCTGGGGATCCGGAATCACGTTAGAGTTTTTTAATGTTTTTTTCCTGTTTGATTGTTTTTTGTTTGTTCCCCCCTCCAGGGCGTCGTCATCGCCATCGCTCACGAAATCGTTCCCGCGGTAGAATAGCAGGATATCCTTCTCGTCGTGCCTGCGCAAGCACGGGCAGAATACACCAATCTTGAAGCCCATCTCACGCAGCACCTTCATCACCTTGTCGGCGAAAATCGCCGCGGCGTCCCTCGTACCGCGCATGCTCTTGAGCAACAGCGCGCAGTCGCCCTCACGGCGCCGCTCGGCCAGGAGTTGCACGAAAACCCGCCGACGCGCCTGGCTGTGGCAGCGCGCCCGGCTGATGTCGATGAACATCAGCTTGCGCCGCCTGCTGTCGCCCGGCTTCCTGCTCATCTTGCTGAAGGGCATCTTGGCACCCTCCTGCGGCGGGGTGGCCGAGAAAACGCCGCCCCTGAAGAACTCAGCCTTCGTCTGGGCGCCTTCGGCTCCTTCGCAACCAGCATGCATCTGATCTCCGGGCGAGCGTCGTCGCCCTTGTTCGCGTCCACCCACTTTACCTCGATGGGCTTCGCAACGGTCTTCTCCCGGCAGGGAGACTCCGGGACTTCCTCGCACAACTTCATGTCGTCCATGTGCTTGAGCTCCTGCTCCTTGCCAGCCCGCGCCAACTTCGCGTCGAGCAGCTGGCCCAAGATGTTGTCGCGAAGCTCCTCGTTCCTCCATGTGCCAGGTCGCGGCGCCCTCCTCGCAGGTGACGCCCACGGTGAACGCACTCAGGTCGCCATTGACCTTCAGCTGCGTCTTCAGGCCCCTGAGAATCGCTGCCGCCAGAGCCGGCGGGTAACTCTGCGCTGGTCGCGTCCTGGAGCCTCCGACCAGAAGAACGCGATCGTGCCACTGGTCCCGCGGCAAGCTCTCGTTCTCGCGCCGGCGAGAGACCTCCGCCAAGACGCACTCTGAGTTGCTCGCCCAGCCTGCGGGCATGAGAACCAAGCCCATCTCGCTGTCGAAATCAATCGACTGCTGTCCCCAATAACATTGATGCCCCACAACACGCGCGACGCCTCCCATTTTCGAAAGCTCTATCATGAAATCCGGCGTCCAAATCCCAGCACGGTATGGGTGTAGCGCCCCTCCTTCACCTTCTTCACGCAGAACCGGAGGTGCTGGATGCCCTCGACCACCTACTGCTTGCACGCCTCTGGGTCGCGATCCATGTTCAGGTTCATGATGGCGCCGAAGGCCCGACGCATCGGCGACCCAATCAGGAGGCACGGGTTCTCGTCATCGCTCGTCGCCTCGCACCTCCTCTGGCGATCTGGGTCCGACAGGTCGCACTGCGCACCATTCTCGTCCATCAGGCGCAAGTCGAACGCATGCCCAGGGTTGAGGCCAAACGACTCTGCCCTGCTCGTAAACTTGCCCGGACCAAACAGCTCGGTCGCATGCGCGTCGAAGAAACACAACTCATTGATGACGCCCTCGATCTCCTCCGCTGCGGCGTCCGCTTCAGCATTTCCCTTCGCACCCTCGCCCGAGCGCTCCTCCGTCGCCGCCGGCGGAGGTTCACTGCGCAGATCTCCAGGCCCAGACGCCGCCGCACTCGGCGCCGCCGAACTCAATGCCGCTGCGCCCGATGCCGCTGGAGGTCAACCTTGGTCTGCTGCCAATCCAGGGGCCGCGCGACCCTCCTCAGCCCGCGCCGCCTCTGGCACGACCGCCTGCCGCTCAGCTGGCCTCTCCTCCCCGCGTCGCTCCTCCTCGCGCGCTTCCTCATCGCGAAGTCCTCTTCCATGAGCTTCGTGACTCTCGCCCTGCTGGTCTCGCTGTAGCTGCGAACAGGCAGTCCGGCTGCGTAGCTCTCGCAGCCCATGCAACCCGGGGTGCGCCCGAACTTCCTGATCTCCACCTCGTTGCGGATGCGCGCTCGTCGTGGTCCAGGAACTCCTCCTGCGCCCGTGCCTGCCCGCGCAGCCCGCGGCTCCACTTGCAGAAGTGCTTCGCCGGACGCTCTCTGGATCGGGAACTGGGCCGCCGGCGCCTCGCCCCCGTCTCTGGGTGCACCGGGCACTGGCCG